ATAGAATCTAAAAAAAAAAATTATACACAATATGTAAACAAAAAAAATATTAAATTAAAAAATAGAATACATAGGATATAATATTAATAATAACAAAAAATAATAAGAATAAATACTATAAAAAAGAATATATTTAAATATCAAAAATAGAAAATTAAATAATAAAAATTATTCTATTAATAAAATTCACAATTATAGTGAAATAGAAAAATACTAATATAGTTAAATAAAAACGAACAATCATAATATTCTGTAGCAGAAATCAAAGAAAATATCATTTTATCTTGTGAGTCTTACACTCACAATGGTTATAAGAAATCTTCAAACTTAACTAGTTTCCCTCGCAAATGACTATGAAATTTCTAAATTTAAAAATTTCGCCAACTTTTTTTTTGGTAAACATAGGATCGCCAAAATTTAAAATTATATATGTGTGTGTGAGGTTAATGTTATTCACATTGTACAAGATAATTTTATCACGTATACTGATATGAAAATATGGGGCCATATGAAGATAAAATAGAAATTAAGAATATATTCATGTGTTTTCTGTTTCTGTTTCCACCTTATCATATAAAGCAGTATTTTAAAACCCCACCCAGCCCTCCGGGTCAACCCCGACCCCTTTCCTCTGAGGGTTGGAATCACAAGTTGGACCCTAAACAAATCAATTTCACCGTTAGATCGATTATGTGGATCTAACAGTTATATTTATTTTCATCTATGTATGGTTATGATTCCTCATATTCACATTAAATATGAGGAATCATAATCATACAAAGGTAAAAATAAATATAAAAGCCACTGTTAGATATGAATAATAATGAGTCAAGAACATGCCAAAAAAATCTCAGTACAATCAGATGGTAGATGAAGGAGATGTCGAAGAATAATCAAAGATTGCTCTTTCTTATCTTAAATTAGCGTATTTTGTAAAATGATTATCTGCCTCTTTCCTTTACTCGTGACTAAATTCCATACTCTCTTATCATCAAAATGCTACTTACACACATTCAAAGTTATGGACCTCAAGACTAATTTTTTTATAAGGGGCTAAAGTGGGGACCATAGTCCTAGAATTGATCAAAGTTAGGGTTTAGGGTTTATGCTATTCACGCACGTTCAAAAGGCTGCTGAACATCTTGAATTGGGAACCCTAGCTTTCTTTATTGGGCTGGACTTGACTTTTAATTAAGTGGTTAAAGTCCAACTACAAAGACCAATGCCCTTTTTGGTGGCATCGGAAGCATGTGTCACTTTTCATTTAATTTGTATAGTGATGACGACGAGGGTGGTTGAAACAGGAATCTTTCAGACATTTTTCTCTGCTTCTCACCATTGAACAATTTTTACACACACTTTAAATATCAACAGAGTCATATCTTTCCTATGACTAGCTGACATAGGTACTACTGTCACTACATACACTCAATGTCTGCCACAGAGGATGCAGTGACATATTTAATGACTTTTTCTCACATGCATGATGCGACGACCATTTAATGCCCTTGTCCCTTTTAAATTTGATTTATATATTATTTTTGAATTTTGTGAGGGAATATATTCTCATTTTCCCTCGCAATTTGGGAGGGAATATATTCCCTCGTAAATTGCGAGGAAATTTGAGAGGGGATATATTTCCACGCAATTTGCGAGGGAAATTATGAAATTTTAGTCGCAATTTTTTGTCCTAGATCTTGCGAGGGAACTTCCGTCGCCAATATTTTCCCTCGCTAATTCCCATCACAGACTTATGATGTTTGCAAGGGATTTAATTTCCTCGCAAATTGCGACGGAAATGCAACTGATGTGCAAGGGATTCTGCGACGGTGTTGTAGTAACGGAAAATTTGCCTATTTTTCGTCTCAATTGTATTTCCCTTGAAAATTTCGTTGCAGTTTGCAAGTGAAATTTTTCCTCACAATTTTTCCTCGCTATTCGCAACTTTTCTAGTATGGCTCATTCACCTTGCCACCTTGAATCCAAAAAGTTACATATAATTTGATAGTTCTTCATAGTTATTATCTGTCATCTCTTTTAAATATTCCTTCGTATACTACATGTGAGATTGAAGTGTGCTTTAATTACATAATAAGATGTTCAATTATTTTTTTATTTTTTTGGAAATATTCCAATCGGTCCATTGCTTCGCAATTAATCCGATTCGGGGCGGGTCTAGGATTAAGATTTTAAACCCCTTCCAAAGGTGGTACTGGGGAGATTCGAACACATACTTTCATCCCCACCTGCATAGCTCTCATGCGCCAACTGAGCTGCCACTATTTGGTAGTTATTTTTTTGTTAATACAATGGTATGAAGTATGAAATCAGAATTATTTCATGCAACAATAAATATATTAGTTTTACAGTTTATTATAGTCAATTTTTTGGCGAGGTTGAACAGAAACTCCAAATCTATGGTCATGCTAGTAATATATTCAATTTTGGCAAGTTTTACATATTAGCAGTATTTCATTTTATCCAGATCAAACTTAGGCTCGTTTATAAAAGTATCAATCATCTTGAAAAGAAAAAAGTAATTATAGTATAATAAGTTTAGATTATTCGAAATAAGCAATCACAATATTAATTTATTATGCAATTAAAATAGTTAAATAATAAATATTTACAATATATATATATATATATGAGTTTATCATTTCTCAAGCTGCCGGGGATAACTTTATCTCCGGCTACTAAATCATAATCGTACAAATATGGATCAACGGTGATAAAAGAAGAGAGAAAAATGGAATCATAACCGTTCAAAGGTAAATCATTAAATATAAAGAAATAAATAATCAAAACGACGTAGTTTTGGGATGGCCGGAGATAAACTTATTTTAAGCAGGTTGAGAAATGTTTCTCTCTCTCTCTATATATATATATATATATATATATGGGGCAGGTTATTCTTACATTAGTGTAAGCATAAAAGTCGTACACCAAATCTTAATTATTGATTTGCTTATATCTAACGGCTCATATATCTAATAAATTAGAACTCTTATATATAAATAGTATCATCATCAATATTAAGAGTGTAACTTACACTGGTGTAAAATGATACTGATCCTATATATATAATTAAATGAACAGTTAGAATTTGGTGTCAAATTTCAAAGTTTGAAACCGATGTCAAAGGATCCTCTCCCGCACACACACAAATATATATATAGGGAAATGATCTGTTTACAAACTTTTTTTATAAATTACATTAAGTATGACCGGTTATACACTCTTGATTGAAGTATGATCGGTCTGACATAGTGTAGTTTGTAAACAAAATTTTTGTAAATATAATATTTCTCATTCATATATATATATATATATATATATATATATATATATATATATATAAAAAATAAATAAATATATTTTTTGGCTATATATATATATATATATATATATATAAAATTTTTAATTTTATTATTTTAAATAAAATATAATAAAAATTCTATGTGAACGTGATTCATTTCATCAGTGAGGAAAATGTCAAGCTTTACGTCTGTTGACTTTGGGAGCCTCGCCATTCATTAGAGGCACTGGCACATGTGGTGTTGTTTGTATAAACTATGTTGGAGATTTTGAAATCATCTGTTTCTTTCGCTCGTTATTATTATTATTATTATTTGCTTGAATAACGACGACCTTAGATCACGGATAAGAGAAACGGTGGTTCACAACCCGCAGCAACCATCGATAAACACTGACTAGAGATCACGTACCATTTAACCATCTCTCGAGCTGCATTGATGCTGTCTCTTTTATGTATCTAGGTAATTTTTATTTTTATTTTATTACGTGTCATGCTATCTTTGTAGTTCAATCAAAGATACATTGTCAATGTTGCTATTAGAAAAAGTATAAAAATATTATTTGTAATCTAATCTAAAATAATTAATATAATTAATATTCTAACTCATAATTATCCATTTATTTACTCATTACATGTTTGCTTACCTTTAAGCCAAACCATTAAGGTTATGTATGCTGATAAATAATACTAAAAAGCATCTATTTCGGTGATAATGTGATACGTAGCGCTGTCCAGTGATATCTATAAAAATATTAAAATTATTAATGAGTTCTTCTTTTGGTATTATAATACTTAAAGATGGCATTTTAGAAATTAGCAAACACCGTTTAAAGAAAAAGACATTGAGGATAAATAGAATAAAAAAAAAAAGTAAATACCTTTTTTTGATCTTCAGCAAATTTAACGATACCCGCTTTAGTCTCTAGCAAATAAATAGGCACATCGTGATTCCTAAGAAATTTAAAATGGAATCCACTAGGATTAGCCTAGTGGTGTGGGGTGTGTGTTAGGTGTTTGTAGTATAGTGGTGTGTGTTCAATTCTCATGTAATGCAAAAAAAAAAAAGAAATTTAAAATGGATCAATTTAGTTAAAATCGTAATCTCTCACGAATTCAAAAAAACTCATATTAGTCCCTCTAAAGGACTGAAATGGATTCATTTTGAATTTTTTAAAAATCACGATGAATCTTTTTATTTGCTAGGAATTAAAACGGGCATCGTACAATTTTCTGAAGACCAAAAAAAGTATTTACTCTAAAAAAAATTCCAACTAACGAATGTGAGGCGGCGAGAAAACAGACGGGAACAAAATGACAGAAAAAAAACATGAAGCAATAATAAGTATCCATGGTATGGTGTCAGTCCAAGTCAACTAAAGCATAAGCTGGCAACCAAAACCAACCAATCCTCAGACTTTTTCAGACTATTGGGTATTTCATTCATCAAAAGGCTAAAACAATGGCTTTGACCTGATTTTTAAGCCCCAACGTCCCTCAGATCAATAATAACCCTCCTTTGGGCCCACAACTCAGAAAAGGTCAATATCCCCCACTCAGCTTCAGATACTTTTCTCATCAGAAAAGGAAAAAAATATTTAAATAAACTTTTTTTTAATTTTTTTAATTTGCGTTTAGAGAGACCAAAATACCCTGTTTAGCGTTAGATCTTACATGCAATCTCACCTACATTTTGACGATAACAGGGAGGATTAGCGTGACAGTGCAGTCACCTAGCGGACCAAACCAGCCACTATCTTCTTCTTTTTTATTATTATTATTATTATTATTATTATTTTCTTTTCTTTTTCTCTCTTTGGCATCATTTGACCAGGGTACCGTATGACCCTCTTTATCAACGCTTCTTTGCAACTTTAACTCCTTTCATTTCCCTATGTTCGTTTTCTCTTTCTTTTGCAAATATGGCCGTGGAGCTCGTGATGGGGTACAGGAATGACAATTTTGTTGCTAAAGCAGAAGAGAATGCTGTTCAAGAAGCTGCGTCTGGGTTAGAGAGCGTGGAGAAGCTCATCAGGTTGCTATCACAGACTCAGCAACAACAACAACAACAACAATACCAATCCTCTTCAACTTCAAAGTCTTCCATGGAAATTGAGATGGACTGCAGAGCTGTCGCTGACGTGGCTGTTTCCAAGTTCAAGAAGGTGATTTCACTTCTGGGTCGAACCAGAACCGGTCATGCTCGCTTCAGAAGAGCCCCTTTGGTTAACCAAAACCCTGAAATACAACCACGTCCTGAACCAAGAGTCTATCATGCGACGCCGTTGCAGCAGATCCCACCACCAACCCTTCATCCGCACCAAGCTCACAGTTTGATCCACAAAAATGGGGCCATTATTGAGTCCAAGACAATTAATTTCTCCTATTCCTCTGCTGCCAATTCATTCATCTCGTCACTCACCGGCGACACCGACGCTAAACAACCATGCTCGTCGTCGCCGGCGACACCTTTTCAGATCACGAATATCTCTCAGGTTTCCTCGGCGGGAAAGCCTCCACTTTCCTCGTCTTCGTTGAAGAGAAAGTGTAGCTCTGAGAATTTGGGTTCTGGCAAGTGCGGCAGTTCCTCTAGCCGCTGTCATTGTTCAAAGAAGAGGTATGTCATGGGTCTTCGTTCAAAATCCCTTCTTCTTTTTTGTAACCCTTAAAAAAGTTTTTAAAAAAGACTATATTTTTTGATGTCTCGTTCTTAAGCATTCTGTTTTGGATTGTAGAAAAATGAGGTTGAAGAGGGTGGTGAGGGTACCAGCAATAAGCTTGAAGATTGCTGATATTCCACCTGATGATTATTCTTGGAGGAAGTACGGACAGAAACCCATTAAAGGATCCCCTCATCCTAGGTACGTTAATTATATTATAAGCAACCCCTTTTTCATCGAGTTATGATTTGAATCTACCAACTTAATTACGAGCATGTTTATTCTTGTATATACTAGCTAACTTGCTCGTTGACCCTTCAATTTCAATTTTTAAAATGGACCCATGTTTTTGTGACTCAATTGAACCCCCTTACTCTTTTTTGATTAGTTTCCCTTTTTCCATGATGGGCTAAATTTAGGAAAACCCTGCACGGTCTCTGTCCTTAACTCTTGAAATTTTATGCGATGTTGTCTTGAGTTTTTGAGTCGTTGTTGGAACAAAATTACAGGGGTTACTACAAGTGCAGCAGTGTCAGAGGGTGTCCAGCGCGCAAACACGTTGAGCGGGCTCTAGATGACCCAGCTATGCTGGTAGTTACCTATGAAAGCGAGCACAATCACTCCCTCTCTGCTTCCGAAGCTACTAATCTCATCCTAGAATCCTCTTAACTTACCTTCGTTTCCCATCACAAGTATATTCTCAGAGCTTGTACAATTGCAGCTTTAATCTCGAAGGAGATTGGTGGGTGTTCCATGTTCTTATTCCTTTATCTTTCTCGTTCTTTTCAAAGACTCGGACATTGGGAATCCATCACGATTATAATTTATTATAAAAAAAAAAAAGGTGAAGATGGTGGATTTGTTAACGGATTTAAATCCCAAAAAAAGAAAGAAAGAAGTGGGGTTTGATTCCTTTTTTTTTTTCCTATTTGATTGCTTTACCTGTGGTGCTTATCTTAGATGCCCATCATCTCTCAACTTTAATGGGGGAGTTTCGATGCTTTCTTTGAATTTTTTATTTCTTTTAAAAGAGTAAAGTGAAGGAAAAAGCAATGAATGAGACGGAGTCAAACAAGTGCACACACAAGAGGACGGACCTGTCGTGTTTAAGAAGGTTGACTAAAAGAGAGAGTTGTTGGGACTTGGCAGTTGCCAGTTGGGACGGCAAATTATAGTGAGTGAATGGTGAGTGAGTGACGGGTTTGGGATGGAAAGCGGGAAAACGGGAAAAAGAGAGTTTTTAATGCAATTTTTGTTGGACAGCTTGGCTTATAGGAAAAAAGTTGGCTCAGAGAGAGAGAGAGAGAGAGAGGGGTTGATGGTCTTGAAAGCCTCTTTACTCTTGTGGGAAAACCTAACCTCTTGCAAAGTCAAAAGAAGTGGGTGTGAAATTTATGTTTTAGCATTAAAGAGTCCTATCTCGTTGGCAAATTTGTTAATTTGCTTGCTTTGCCTTTACCTCAACGTCCATTTTGTTATGCATATGATATAGCCATATAGGCCCCCTTTTTTTTTTTTTTTGGTACATGCATATAGGTCCCTTTTACTCATTCATCGATTTCACTATTTACACGAATACGGCTTTTTCAATCATATATATATATATATATATATATATATATATTTTTTTTTTTTTTTTTGTAATACCATATATTTTAAATACGGTTCCTCCGTCTTATATTCTTACCGTACTTTCTCGCAGTCCAAGGTATATAGTTGCTTGCATTTAAATTATTTTCATATGATAAGTTGTGGGTTCATTTTTATGCCACCGATTTATAGATCCTTACCCAACCAACGTATAATTTGATTGTGTGACATTTTTAAAAAATATTTCAAGTGGCTGCTATCTTTTATTTGAGGAGGTTTACAATCACGTTGGATAAAAAATCAAAATTTAATTAACACCTTTCATTTAATGCTATTTCATTATTGATGATTTGATAATAATAAAAAAGTTGTAAATATTATAATTAAAATATTATGCATTCAATGATATAATATAAAACAAAGTAAGTCTCTTAATCCAAGAAATATTTAAAAAATTCTCAACATTTTTTTATCTATATAAAGCTGGCAATTCAGGTGAATATAAATACGAAAACACTCAACATGAATACAATCTTCATACTTGTGTATATAGTGTAACGCCTGGTAACTTGCAAGGATCAACGACTGTCTCCACACACTAACACGAGACTTTTCAGCGTGCTTTGTCCTCACTCGCTCACTTCCCGGGAAAACTTACCAATTAATTCTTATAAGTCATTCCCAACTGTACCGTCTCATACCAGCACAGTCTCTGGAATCCCTCTCTTTCGGGTGTTAATTGGATTCATTCATGTACCCCCGTCCCTAGAAGCCTGCCAGGAGCCGCTCCTTGTCCGTGCCCTTACGCACCGGCGATCACTCCCCGCCCTCATCAGGGCCCGGGATGTTACATGCCCACCAGCTTCCGCCTAGTTCGTCCTCGGACCACACCGTACTGGATGAGAGGCCCTGCTCTGATACCACTTGTAACGTCTGGCAACTTGCAAGGATCATCGATTGTCCCCACACACTAACACGAGACTTTTCAGCGTGCTTTGTCCTCACTCGCACACTTCCGAGGAAAACTTCCCAGGAGGTCACCCATCCCTGAATTGCTCCAAGTCAAGCACGCTTAACTGTGGAGTTCTTCCGATACGGGCTACCGAAAAGTAGATGCATCTTGTTAGTATAGGTAGTACCAATTAATTCTTATAAGTCATTCCCAACTGTACCGTCACATACCAGCACAGTCTCTGGAATCCCTCTCTTTCGGGTGTTGATTGGATTCATTCATGTACCCCGTCCCTAGAAGCCTGCCAGGAGCCGCTTCTTGTCCGTGCCCTTGCGCACCGGCAATCACTCCCCGCCCTCGTCAGCGCTCGGGATGTTACACATAGCACATCCTATCTACTTACAAGGTGATTCACACACGCACCATTTATTCATACTATCAGACTTTGGCCTAAGGTGTTGGACTTCTCATTACCTTCGAAATTATGTCGATATTATTCATCTGACAGCCTGTTGGTTTAATTATCTGAAGGATTCTTTAATTATGATATAAGGATATGTCCGTCAAGACATATAAAATATTCCAGGATGCAAATTCAATATAAGTTGTTGATACTAAAAAATAGAATTATTTATTAGAGCTCTGCCAATCTCATTTGTAATTAAACGATGAAAATTATTGTTATATCGGCAATATGACATTATCACGGTCAGCATCACCTCGATGATACTTGTAATATTTCAAAATTGATAGACTAACTTATTCTTGGCATTTTGTTTCCTATTTGAATTACACCTCTATATGTTGGTTTGCCAATGTCTTATAATTATATATGCTTATCAGTCTTTTATATCCATAACTTAATTTAGACTGTGATGGAAATAATGTTAACCTAGTGAGTGGGTGCATTAATAATTTGATTATATAGCATGAAACTCGAGTCATAACAGAAATTAAGTATTACTTGAAACTTGAAAGCACACCCACATGCAAATATACATTATTTGCAAAAATCACAATTTGCAATTTTTATTTTATTGCGATATAGTTCATTTGTACTTCCTTTGCATGTATCTTGTTATAGTCAAGCCCATACTCCAGAGATCATCTGAGAGTTGTTGAAACCTCTTTTACTAGGCCATCTCGATCACTAGCGGTTATTTAGGCTATTAATAGTCACCTCGGCTGTCAATAAGGTTGATTGTGTGAAAGCAGACTTACGATTCTTTCTTAAACCTCTTGTATTTTCTTTTGATTATAGTTGGTTTATAAATACTCTATCAATTAATGGATGATATGTTATTTGCAAGCTTGCTTGTTTCATGTTTTTAAGGATGCAATACATTTGCCAACATCATAATTCAACGACAAAGCAATCACAATCTGATTAGAAGCATCAAGCCTCATGCTCTTCCGAAACCATGGGCACCCGAGTTCAACAATGAATCGGGGGCATTAAGTCTCGTGTTTTTCCGAGACCATAGGCACCCGAGCTCAACATTGAACCGCGAACATCAAGTTCAATGCTTTCCTAGATCATGGGCACCCGAGTTCAATATTGAACCGAGAGCAATAAAGTCTCATGCCCTTCCGAGACCATGGGTACCCATGTCCTTCCTGGGTCCGGCACATAAGTCCTTATGATTTTGAAAGATCCTAACCAGCGTGCAAAACATCATGACATAGGGTTTCTCATATCCTACTCAGGTGTGCAGTAAATAATTATTTCTCTAAATTATTATAGGTCTAAGCCGTCATTATGAGATATCACCTGTAACTTCAGACTTGGAAGTAATTACAAAGCCGTAGAAGACTATGAGCAGCGAGCAACCAGACAAAGCATCCTGAAAATCAAAAAAGTCACGAAGTCGAATTTTCTTGGCATTCTTTTGCACAATAGTTAACACCATTTGATAGGCACAAGGGCTTTACTTTTACCCCGACATTCTGACTTCGCGCAATGCCTGACTGGGGGGCTTATGTTATGGACTAGTTAAATGGTGCAAACTTCCCCTTCCTACTACATGATATGCACTAAGCATCTCGCTCCACTACTCTATCAACTTTCACCACTAAACACAACCACCTACTAATCACACCATGACACCACTAGTCACTTGCTAAACCACCGCTATGTCCATAACCTCATTAACTGCTAATGCGCTTCATCTATATATGCCTCCTATAGTAAATGAGGAAATAAGTTTTTCAGTATTTTTAAGGCTTGCCACCATGACTACAATCTTTACACTTGTGTCCAAAACACATCCCACCTACTAAGCAGGTGATTCACACATACAACCCTTATTTATTCCATTGAACTCTGGCTTGAGGTGTTGGACTTCTCATTGTCAGTTGTCTCTACCATAAGCTCCGCAAACATTATAAGCTCCTTAGCTGGACCTTGATATTCACCTCCGAACAAATCGGACAAAAGAGCTTGATAATAAAAGGAAATGATACGAGTCTTGATTTGAAGTGTATGAGAATAAAAACAAATATATATTAGATGATTTCCCTTTATTTATTTTTGTTTCATTTTTGGATAATTCTGTTCCTTTGAGATAGCCAGCTAGTAAGTAGACCCCACCTTCCACCCAATCAATTTATGTGGTTGAAAGCCCAAACCAATAATTACTCCTCTCGGGTTTTTGACAAGCCCAAGCCTAGTGCAACATCGACATCCCTTGAGTTCACTAGGCTGTCTTGGTGAGAAAGACAAAAGGGACTTTTCAAAAATAGCAAATAATGTTTCTCATGTTGTAAGAGATCATTTTTATTTCCTGCACATACAAAAAAGTACGTAGGGTTCATACTTTTTGTCTCTTTCTTTTCTTCACAACTTCACATGACCCTACATGGGGCCCACATACTTTTATCTGTCTATAGGAGATAAAATTAGCTTATATAAACATGAGAAATATTATACTTACAACTTTTTTTTTTACAACTTCTTACAACCATATCTTAACACCGTTGATTTCCGTCAATCAATGGTTATCATTTATTGTGAATTAATAATTAATGAGTTTAATTTGCGAAAATAATAACCGTTGATTGACGGAAATCAATTGTGTTAAAATATGATTGTAAGAGATTATAATTTTTTTTTTTTTGTAAATATAACCTTTTTCTATAAACATTAATCCCATAACAATAATAAGGCATTTGGTACACTGAAGACCGAAACAAATGTAAAAAGCTTTAAACAGAATATCGCGTTTGCTATATTAGATTTTATAAATAATTAAAATAATTAATATGAGATTTGAAATACTCCCTAATTAGTATTTTAAAATACTCAAACGAATTAATAAAAAAAAATTGTCAATGAATATCTCAAGAATATTAATTAAATACTATTTACACTTTTTTTAATTAATTTTAAAAACATTAGATCTTATGTATACTTCTTATGTAATAAACAATTTTTTTTTATTTTTAATAATTTTACTTTTATTGTTAAATAAATTTCATAATAATAAAAGAAGAGATGGGGAAAAGAAAAAAGCAAATGTCACGTGATGGCGTGTGGGGCAGGGTGGCGTGATTCTCACGCGAGGTTAGGAAGGCAAATTTTGAATCGGAAAACAGAGAAAGCAGTGCATAACAGTGGGATAAAAGAAATTTGGTTGGGTAGAGGCTGCAAAGGCAGAGAGAGAGAGAGAGAGAGGTAAGTGTTTGTGTTTATCGAATTGAAAAGGAAAGGAGAGGAGAGGAGAGGCAATCTTGCTTCTTCTTGGGATATATAGAGAGAGAGAGAGATGTCTGGTATTGCTCGTGGACGCCTTGCCGAGGAGCGAAAGTCATGGCGTAAGAACCATCCACACGTTCGTACAAACCCTCCACTCTCTGCTTCTCATTCACTTATATTTTGTCAATTTCATCTTCTTCTTTTTCTTACAATCCATTTTCTTCTTTTTCTCTCAATTTAGGGTTTCGTTGCCAAGCCCGAGACTCTTCCTGATGGCACCGTCAATTTGATGGTCTGGCATTGCACTATTCCTGGCAAGGCTGCGGTGCGTTCTTTTCCTTTTTACATCTCTTTTCTGCACGCTTGCCCTTCTCTTTGTATCTGCTGTCTCTTTCAATGTATCCGAATTCACCCACTTCAGACATTTTCAATTGATTCTTTGCTTTGATCTTCAATGCTTGCATACCCCTGGGTTAAAATCAGTGATTACATTACAAGTTGTATCTGTATTATCAATTTTCTATGTCACTGTTTGCTATGTATTCTTTTGCTTATAGAAAAACTCGGGTTGCTGTCTATGCCTTAAATTACGTGAATGAAGATGAAACCGGGCAACGAAGTTGATTTTTTATTATTTTGGCCTTTTTATTTATTTATTTTTTCTGTTTCTTAATTATTTTTTCCCAATAATTAGTTTGGGTTTAAGGGCTATTAGTATCATCTTCATAATAGAGGAGCAAAGTTGGGGGGAAGGGGTTGGGGAGGAAGACGAGGAATGGAAGGAAACTAGAGGGCTTGAGCTTTACCATTCATGAGTTTTAGACCTATGAAGCACAATTAATGATTCTAGGTATGTATTGGGACTTTTGTGTGCATAAGGGCCTAGACGTGATGGCAGATGCATTTCTTACCAATGTTGATGGAATTAGTGATGGAATGGAACGGACGGCAGAATTGTAAAGTTGTAGCCTTGTAGGCCTTATGGTTTAAGGATGGTAAGATTGTAAGAAATTTTCTAGTTGTATAATGCTTCAAGCATAGGCCCTATATTCAACTTTAAGGTATACTGGTTAACAGTCAACGTGGTATATTGGAAAGAGTAATACCATTCCCCCCCTTTGAGGGGATTTTTATGCCTTTTTTTTTCCATTACTTGAGTCATTGGGTGGAAAATAGGATTTTGTGTTATTTAGATTTGCTTCTTGGCTCATGCCTTTGAATTTTTTTTTTTAATATGCTTATTCTCTAATTGGCATTCTCTCTCTCCTGGGATGTCCTTCTGCTTCTTATCTTTGGCATGAGATTGGAGGAGTTTTCAAGTTAAAATTTTATTTATCCGCTAAAATATTTTGGATTAGCTTTGGATTAGTTCAATACATAATCAACAATATGTTGGAACGTGATCTATTCAACCATAAAACAAATGGGAGATCAAGGAACATAAGTGCCAAAGTGCTCAATATCGATCTTTTTAGTTCTTTTGCATTTAACATAGATGTGGTCATGGAAATTACTCAAATATTTTATCGTTGAAAGCTTATATCAATGAATCAATTAGTTCCCTGACTTCATAGCCTTGGATTAGATTTGCAAATGAATGAGCAATTGTTTCAATAGCAGGCACTGTTATTTACTTTATGGTAATTATTCTGCATGTCATTTGCCGCAGACTGATTGGGAGGGTGGCTTTTTCCCACTTACAATGCACTTCAGTGAAGACTACCCTAGCAAGCCTCCAAAGTGTAAATTCCCTCAAGGTTTCTTCCACCCTAATGTTTATCCATCTGGAACTGTTTGCTTGTCTATACTTAATGAGGATAGTGTAAGTATGATTCTCTTGGTAATTGCTTGACTGTTTGAAACTAGTATAATGTGATTTTACATGCTTCTGAAAGAATGGAATTATAGAATTATTCTTATATTTAGGGGTGGAGACCAGCTATAACAGTGAAGCAAATTCTTGTGGGCATCCAAGACCTGCTTGATCAGCCAAATCCTGCTGACCCTGCCCAGACAGAAGGCTATCATATGTTCATCCAGGTAGCTAACACCTGAAAAATCATACATTTTCCACTGAAAACCCTATAACCAAAGTCATTCTCAAAGAGTACAAATCATTTGGCATATTTAGCCAAGGCAAAGTGGGTGTGGCGGTAATTTCTTTTTGAGGTTTCCATATATGCATCGCCTGCACCCTAAGAATTGTTGATATGTTTGCTCTCCAAGTTGAACCTTTGGTCGTTGAACTTAGTGTAATAAGCGTAGGTGCTGAGACATGGTTATATGATATGTAATTTTTAATGGCAATCTTTATTGCCCATTTTGGTGGGGCTGCAGATTTTCCTTTCTTATTATCAAAGGTGTGTCCTTACATGATGATATTTTATGCAGGATGTAGCTGAGTATAAGAAAAGGGTCCGGCAGCAGGCAAAGCAATACCCACCTCTTGTCTAGTGCTATATATATCTTCTCACTAGGAACTATTCTAGTATGGTAGATGTTGTCTGCTATTTCTTGTTGTGTGTTAAAACTGTTCTGTGATTGTTGGCTGCCACAATATGAAGACTCCGTGGTTTTAAGTTTTTTAACTATTTCTGCTTACTCTCAGGTCTGGATAACGTGTTAATATATAACAATGTGAAAGTCAACCAATAATACTTGTTGGCGACACTTGCTGTGCCTGATGATCGCTGGTACATTTCTATATGAATGGATAATTTTAAGTGTTGAGTTATATGACATTATAACTGCTTCTCTGGAACTTTTTTTTTTCTCTCTTCTATTCTGAATTTGTTGTTTCCATTCTAGAGATTAAACATACACCTATTCCCCAATTGATTTGTCAATTGACACCTTTACCCATGTCCCATGGCAGCATAAGTTATCACTGAAAATTTTGCTTCCTAGGTGATGATGGAGCATTTTCCTCTAACAATGTGCTTCAGTGGCATGTGCTGTGACTGCTGCTTGATTGACCTTCTCGATTCCTCCCCCATGCAAAAGAAGCGGGGGAGAATAGTCATTAAATTGGTTATCCGTAAGGTGTAAGAATGAATTATTTGAACTCATTCCATGTTAGTTTTTCACCTTTCCCCATTTGGTTGTTAGATTCACGATGTAGTGATGGGAGAGGTAGAGGTGGCTCATTTTGACTTGAGATAGTATGATGTAAATTTACGTGCCGATACCCAATGTAATATGGATCCCCAAAGAAAGAGGGATTCGGCGCAATTGAATTAATTTGGTAGTCCAGGATTAACTTATTTCTTGGTCTTTTCTGCAAGTATGTAGATTTTTTTTTTATTATTATATAAAATTGAAGGGTACATGACATTTGATGCAATTCCTGCCAACGCAAATGGCTGGCTATGTCTACAACACGAAATGATTAATCTTAATGCCTAAAGCATGAGATTAGTTTCGTTTGCATCTTTTGTCGTTAATAGCTGGTCATAGATGCAAGAATCTATTACTTAGTGAAGTTCCATTTTTAAATTGTAAAAGTAGAAAGAAAAAAAATAACGCTTTTCATTTCTGCTGCATCAGTTCTGCCTCCAAAGTTCAAAGTGCAGAATGATAGGCATCAGAGTCACTTTCCGTTAACCCTTTGAAGTCTCCACTGTCCATCAACAAAGCTATCCGTCTTTCCAATCTCCTCCTTTTTTACAACCTCTTTCCCAAAGTCGTTCAATGGTCTCCATTATTTGGCTCCCACTGCCATTCCAATTTTTAGCACATTATTCACCAGCTTTTCATTGAAGAACTGCTCAGCGAGCAGAGGCTAGGTTGCCATGGGCAAACCTGCGTTGATACTTCCTATAATAGTTTTCCAGCCACAGTGAGTCACCAGTCCTCCAATGGCTGAATTCTCCAATATGAGCAGTTGGGGTGCCCAACCCCATATTAGGTAACTTTTATTGCTTGTTTTCACTCTCTTGTCAATTTCTTTTAGAAAACCATCCCCATCTTCACAATCACTTTCATCCTTTTCCCTAACAACCCACATGAAATTGTGCCCGGAGTCTTCAAGGGCTTGAGTTATTTCAACAATCTGAGAAGAAGGGAACTAGCTCATGCTCCCAAAACTGACATAGAGAACAGAGTTCTCAGGCTTGGAATTAAGCCATTTAAGCAATCCTTCTTTTTCTTCCTTTTCTGCTTTGGCATGCCCCCTCCAGCTTTATCCGAAGCATCGTGGTTCACCCGTAAGGAAACTGGTCCTAATCTCCAGCTCTTTGTTCCCGTGGCTGTCTTGAAAGAAGCTATTGAACAAGGAACCATAGCTCCTTTTCTGTGAATCACGAATCATCTACATCAAATATGTGTCTGGTTAGTGCTCTAAGCCGGTCAGTAGCTGCAAACGTGTCATCTCGAGGTGGTGGGGCAACCCAGGCAAGGTGAATTTCTTATCCGATTCTATGTCGTTATGAGGCGCGTATTCTTTGGCAGAATGCTGTGTAGAGTGAGCGAGGTACCTTCCACCAAGAAAAATCAACCTCGGAATGCCCTTCTTTGTCGCAGCATCTGCTGTCCAAGGGTAGAACATGTCAGTGACTGTGCAATCAGCTCTGAGATCCTCAAACAATTGGTGAGCCCCTTAGCAATATTGGCTGTCATATGAAGAGGAGTGTCAATCCCATCAGGGAGACCAATTTGGGCAGCTGGGAGTTTGACAATATGAGTCCTAATTGACCGACCACGACTGAAATCACGGGATATGGAGTCTTGGAACATGTTGGCAGCAACTGTGGTTGTGATTATGGTGACATCTACTGCGTGCATAGCAAACACTCTCGCTATGTCTACAATGGGAAATTGAGAATTATGTGGCTTGCTTATAGTAACGGAAGGAAAATAACCCTCATCAGCTTATTATCACCTTCACCTCCACCTCACTACATGGGAATCAAATTCATTTACACTAAAATACATTTTGGAAAAATCAGTTGAATGTGTTTATAAAACATTTACACTACAAGAGGAAGGATTTTTGACTCCAAGGTAATGTCTAATTCCTCGTCTCGGTTGTTAATTTTCGTTCATCTAATGGTTATAATTTATTGAGTTAAATCAATTAATTAATTATTACTTCTAAATAAATTATAATTAGAAGAAACGAAATCAAACAGCTCCGATGGGAAATAAGACTTCTCAATGTTTGTTTGGGAGCTTTTATTTTTTTAGCTTCTTCTCTTCTTATAAACAGAAGATTAGCCAAATTATAATTTTTTTTATAATGAAGAAAAAAAAAGCCAAAAACTTCTAGGAAGATGCATGTAAACTTTTTTGGAGTTTTCATATTTATTTTTCAATTTTACCTCTATTCTAAATTTCTATTTATAAATTTTACTATTTATTAAAATAATTTACTCTAATAACAAATTATTTTATCTTTATCCCTTTAAGACTCTGATAATAAGTTTATATAATTATCAAACAATTTTTAGCTCCTTATTTTTTTTTTATCAAACATGCTTTTTTGATTCTGATATAATATTAAAAAGTCTTACTCTTATATCAGTTGTTAAATTTAGTTCATTTAACGACTATAATTTCTATAAAATGAGATATTTTTAAACTCCAGTATAAGATTGGAAAATCTTACTCATCTCAACCGAGTTTGTACATAGGTACAACCTTTAGAAGCTTTCAAGATTTCATCGTCTCAACCGAGTTTGTACATAGGTACAACCTTTGGAAGCTTTCCAGATTTTATGTGGTATCAAATTCTTAAGGCGAGATATCACGCTAACCACGCATAAATATTTAATCATCAAAAGATTAAAAAAAAGGATATTTTCGGTCATTGTTGCGAGGTTGGGTTGTGGTTAGATTATATATCACTTGGACATTTTTTTTAACTTAATATTTATACCGTATGATTATAATATTACCAATCAATATAATAATACAATTAGGTACTAAATATTAAACTGTTGGGGGTTGCGTCCTTCTCATTGGGGTGTTGTGTCCATATCACGCCATCCATATTGATCTCGAACCATCTTATTGTGGGGTTGTATCCTTCTTATATAAAGTTCAAGACGAACACGGCTATAGTGTAACAACTAATAATGCATCATCCGCCTCCAAGGAAGAAAGAAGTCAAGAACAATTCTTCAATCTTCATACTCACGACCACATCACATTCACCGTACGCTCAATTTAAAAAAAAAAAATTAAAACATTAAATGCTAATACTTTTTAATTAAATAACAAAATTCTCGTATTCTCACAACTTTATAATCCAACCACGATGAGAGCATTAATATCCGCAACAAGAAATTAATCAGTTAATATCTAAAAGACATTGAACTACGACCGGACACTTTATTGTTCAAAGCAGGCAAACATAAGCATTCGAAATAATTCCTTGTCACAATTACTTTACCGTTGACCGTTGGAAATTTTGTGCATCTTGAGCTCTTCAATCAATTCTATCATATTGTTGTGAGAAGATCCACCAACCTGAATAGCTTTCTTTGCAGCATCGCTCAGCGTCTTAGCTCTTCTCCTCATCTCTGCATCTTCCTCACCACCAGCCATCATCAAAGCAATTGCGTTTCCAATGTCCTCACGTTTCACTACCTCATTCCCAAACTCGTTCCAGTTTCTCCATTCTTTGGCTCCCACTGGCACCCCAATTCTCAATACATCTACCACCAGCTTTTCATTGAAAAAATGCTCTGCAAACAAAGGCCATGTCACCATTGGCAACCCTGCATTCACGCTTTCCACTACCGTATTCCAACCACAGTGAGTCACCAATCCTCCAATGGCACCATTCTCTAGTATGAGAAGTTGTGGTGCCCATCCCCATATTAGATAACCTCTGTTGCTTTCTTTCACTCTCTTCTCAAATTCTTCTAGAAATTCACCCCCATCACCGTTTTCTTCATTTTTCCTAACCACCCAGATGAAATAATGACCGGAATCTTCAAGGGCGTTTGCAATTTCAACAAGCTGAGAATAAGGGAACTTGTTCATGCTCCCAAAACTCACATAAAGAACAGAGCTTTCTGGTTTGGAGTTGAGCCATTGAAGCCACCCTTCTTTCTCTTCTTCTGCTTTGGCATACCCTCTTGCAGCTTTATCTGAAGCATCTTGATTCGCCCATAACGAAACTGGTCCTAGACCCCAACTCTTGGTTCCCATGACTCTCTTATAATGCTCGTAGTAAGCACTTTCGAGGTCTAAGAAGCTGTTGAACAGTGATCCATAGCTCCTCTTCTCTGATTCCTTAATGGACTTCATTAACTCGGTGTATGGATTCGGAGATCTAAGCCAATCTGGTAACTGCAAACGTGTCATCTCCAATTTGTCTGGTAATCCAGTTAAAGTAAACTTCTCAGTGTCTGATTCAACGTTCAAATGGGGTGCGTACTGTTCGACAGAATGCGCAGCAGAGCGAGCAAGATAGCTTGCACCATGAAACATGAGCCTTGGAATACCAAGCTTAGCAGCAGCATCTACAGTCCAAGGGTAGAACATGTCAGTGACTATGAAATCAGATTGCAGATCCTGAAAGAGTTGCTCGATCTCTGGTTGGAGAATGGCCAATCCCATGTATATTTTGGGAATCATCTCACGAGGAGTGTCAACATTGAAGGCTTCGACGCCCACTGGAAGACCAACTTTTGCAGCTGGGAATTTAACAACATGGGTTCTGATAGAGCGACCGCGACTTGAATCAAGGTCAATGGATTTTTGGAAAATGGTAGCGTTATGTGAGGTTGTGACTATGGTGACATCTACGCCATGCATGGCAAAGAGTCTTGCCATGTCCACAAGGGGAATTATGTGACTTGTTGACAAAAATGGAAGGAAAATAGCCTTTAGCTCACCACCCTCCTTCGCCATTGATGTTCTGGTTTTGGTTAAAATGGCACCGATTTTTTGAGAGGAATAATAGTCCTGTGTTTGTGTTTCCTTCTTCTTTATATGGCTGCTTCCGTTCTATACTATGATTTCTCTCTCTCCCACGAGAAACATTATCTATAATTGAATATTTGTTTTTTATTCATTTTTGTTGACAGGTTGAATATTTTAGTACAAGCGTGAGGCTCGTGGTTCCCTTTTATTTTTAAGGAATTGTTTGGTTCATGAAATTTTTTTGGAATAGTAGGAAAATCTAATAGATAGAGAAATGATCGTAAAGATAGATAAAGTGAGATAGGTAGAAAAATGTAAAAAAAAGTTGTTTGGTGGGGAAAAATTTTCTTGGAAAAATTAGGTAACTTTATGAAATCAACAGTGCATTAAAAGTCAGATAACCGATTTTCCGAAAAATTCCACTTTCAAATTGAGTTTCTAAACAGTGCGGATATCTATGTTTCTCATAAATCTATACAAATTGGATAGATGGGTTTTTGGTGAAAATACGTTAAACAAATATGATGTTTCTAAAAGCCATACTTAAAAAACATAAATATCCGTTGAAAAGCTCAGAACCAAACACGAGTGCATACTCGCTTACTTTTATTATAAAGTTATTGGGAAAAGTTCAAATACTCCACTGTGCTTTGCTTCAGTCGCTTACCTATATGTTTTTATTATTATTATTATTATTATTTATTTCCTTATATTTTAACAGTATTGAGATTCCTGTTTAACAAAATTGATAATGAGAGCTTTGTTATATGACTCTTGTTGTCCGTTGCAGTTAATGATTTGATGAAGTGACTTTTTTCTCCCCCAATTTTTGTCAATGAAGGAGATTCACTGGTTGAATAGGGTTTATAATTAGTTCTCTCCTATCATCCAATTCTGATATGTTAATTTCAGGTGACACGGGTTTCTTGCTCTTTTCGCCGGTGATAGGGGTGAAAATCGCGCAGAAGTCAGAGAACAAATTGACACCAAAGTGGCAGAGTGGAGCGAGGAAGGAAAGGCAGAGATTGTGCTTGGTGTCCTTTTCATTGATGAGGAGGTTGTTGGAGATTTGTTAGGATTAATTTGTTTAGAAAAAGATCTCATCCTATCCGATTCTGTATGTATCAGCACTTTTGCTGTATTTTCTATTTGCTGTATTTTCTATTTGTATCGGTTTGTTATATCCGATAGGTTAGGAGTTTGTTTAGGTTGTTACCGTTTCTTTAGTTGTGTACATGCTTTGTATCAGTAGCCTATTTAACGGCTGAATGGAATATATGATAACTAAGAAAGTGGTTTACCAAGTTTATCTTGGTATCAGAGCGATCCTAAAACGTTTCCGCACAATTAAAAGCTAGCCTACAAGTATGGCCCGCGAAGGTGGTAGTAAGTTAAAACCATCGGATCCTGCATCCCCATTCTACCTGACAAGTTCAGATAACCCAGGTATCTTGCTTACCACAGTTATGTTACGCGGAGAAGCCAACTACGAAAATTGGGCAAAGCTTATGAAAAATGCTCTTAAGGCGAAAAATAAGTTAGGTTTCGTAACTGGAACCGTGAAAAAACCGGATGAGGCAGACGCAGATGAATGGCGCGCCTGGGAAATGTGTAACTCAATGATCAACGGGTGGATCCATAACACCATTGATCCCAACCTCCAACCATTCATCAAGTGTTTTGATGAGGTAAAGGCCCTTTGGGACGACCTGAAGGAGCGGTATGCTGTGGAGAATTTCCCACGACAGTATCAGCTCAAGACAAGTTTAGCTAATTTGAAGCAGCTTGGGAGCAGTGTGGGAGAGTACTATATGAAGCTGAGAGGCGTGTGGGATGAGCTTGAAGGAAGCACCACTCGCAAGGAGTGTGCATGTGGTGCAGAATGTGCATTCGCAAAAGAGACCGATGAAAAGAAGGAGCAGGACCGGGTTTACCAGTTCCTAATGGGATTGGATGACTCTATTTTCGGCAACTTGAGGTCACAAATTCTGAATACCACACCTCTGCCATCCATCAATAAAGTGTATGCCATTGTCACACAGGAGGAGACTCACCGAACTATTGTCCGCAGTCAAGAGGAGAGGGCAAATGTCGTGGGATGTGCCTCACGAGTTGAGTCCAAAGGAATGATAGAGCACACAGCACCGCAGGCATCTTCTGAGAAAGCTGTTGATCGTGTGCCTTGCCCCCACTGTGGAAGGAGCAATCACGACCCTTCCAAATGTTGGAATGTGATTGGTTTTCCTCCAAACCGCAGTGGTGGACGAGGGAGAGGACGTGGACGCTCAGGGGGACGCTACAAGGAACATGTGCATGCAGCAGTAACATGGGATCATCCCCAGACAGCAGCGTCTCAGCTGTCAAATGTGCAGCAACCAGCTACTGCAAATTCAGTCCTCACACCAGAAATTGTCAACAAATTAATGGCTCTGGTGGATCAGCCTCAAACATCCAACGAAAAACTCTCTGGTAAGGACAGTAGTAACAAATGGCTCGTGGACAGTGGAGCCTCGCGTCACATGACAGGAACTTTGAATCTTTTGCATGAAATAAGAAATATTCAACCTTTATGTGTAACCTTGCCAGATGGGACTGTTACGTATGCAGGAAAGGAGGGAAAAGTCCTGATAGATGGACATTTTAATTTGCAAAATGTGTTATATGTGCCTTACTTGAGATGTAACCTGATATCTGTCTCTCAATTGTTAAAGCACAACAAACAGATAGTGACTTTTACTGACAAAAATTGTCTCTTGCAGGACCGAATACTGAAGAGGGAGACTGGTTTGGGTGAACTCTCTGATGGGGTGTATGTGTTTCAGCCTAGACATGTGGTGGCAGCTTCAGTACAAGCAGGAAAAACCTTGGAGTTGTGGCATAACAGGCTGGGGCATGCATCATATGAAGTGCTATCTTTGATTCCAGAGTTTAAATTTTCTTTGAATAAAGTTGTAAAAAATAAAGCTTGTGCCGTGTGTCAACGTGCCAAGCAGACCCGTTCTGTATTTCCTTTAAGTGACTCACGAAGTAAAGAAAGTTTTCATCTGATACATTGTGATACTTGGGGACCCTACAAGTCCTCTTCTTTATCTGGTGCTCATTATTTCTTGACCGTAGTAGATGATTTTAGTCGATGTGTTTGGGCCTATATGATGGCAGACAAAGGAGAAACCTATGATCGTGTAAATAAATTCTTAGCCATGGTCTCTAATCAGTATGGTAAAACTGTGAAAATAATGCGATCAGATAATGGGACCGAATTCAAATCTAATAAAATGATGCGATTGCTAGGAGAAAAAGGAATTTTGCAGCAAACTTCGTGTGTTCATACTCCTCAACAGAATGGTAGGGTAGAAAGGAGGCATCGCCATATTCTTAATGTATCACGTGCTTTACTATTTCATGCAGGTATGCCTGTAGATTTCTGGGAGGAGAGTGTGCTTACTGCGGTGCATTTGATAAATAGAACTCCTACAAAGGTCCTCCACGACAAGTCACCTTATGAGGTACTTCATCAAGAGCCACCTGCATATAGTCATTTACACACTTTTGGCTGCTTATGCTATGCCAATACAAGACCCAAGCCAACCGATAAATTTGCACCACGGTCAAGACGTTGTGTTTTTATTGGATATTCGTCTGGGCAGAAGGGATGGCGTTTGCTGGAGCTACAAACACATGAACAATTTGTGTCCCGCGATGTGGTATTTTACGAAGAGGTGCTCCCATTTGCAGCAGGTTCCGGTTCTGCATCCGTGGCAGAAGGTTCAGGTTCTGCATCCGTGCCTACCTCTTCTTCTACACCGAGTGATGACAGTTTAATGAGGCAACGCTTGGGTGCCTTTCCAATTTGCGAAGGGGCAGAATTGGTGGATAGGGGGAGTGACACTGCAGTACAGACTAGTCCACCGAGTGAGACACGTGCTGACTTGACCGAAACTGCTCCACCGACTGAACACATTGTTTCACCAACTGCTCCACCGACTGAACTAGTGGGAGTGCAAGTTGCTTCTCCGCGTGATAATTATGCTGACTCGACAGTAGGAGTGCAACCTGCTCTTGATTATGCAGACCCGACGGTAGAAGGAGGGCAACCTGCTCCTCAGTCGCGTACAATTCCTGCCACAATAGAGGACATCGAGCAATCTGCTCCAGCACAGGTCCCCACGCGCCAGCACCGTCCACGAAAGCCACCGTCTTATCTGCTGGACTATGCATGTCACGTGGCTGAAACACAACCACCCTCCATCGTCCAACCCAGCCTCACCTCAGGTATACGGTATCCCATGAGTAATTTTGTTAGTTTCACTAATTTTTCTAAAAAGCATCGAGCCTTTGTTGCAGCCATTGATGCAGGTCATGAACCAAATGGTTTTCGCGAAGCAATGCTTGACACACGATGGGTTGAAGCCATGCGAGCTGAACTTAATGCATTGGAAGATAATGGTACCTGGAGCATTTCTAAACTACCTCCAGGCAAGCATGCTTTGCCCAACAAGTGGATTTACAAGATTAAGTACAAGTCTGACGGTACCGTGGAACGTTACAAGGCACGGTTGGTGATCGCAGGAAATCACCAAGTCGCAAGGGAAGACTATGGTGAGACATATGCACCTGTCGCGAAAATGGTGAGTGTGCGTACGTTATTGTCAGTCGCAGCTGCTAAAAACTGGGAACTACACCAACTTGATGTCCACAATGCATTCTTAAATGGAGATCTTAGTGAAGAAGTTTATATGAGATTTCCCCCGGGTTTCAGTAATGGATCAGACAACATGGTGTGCCGTCTTCATAAATCCCTCTATGGTTTACGGCAGTCTCCGCGCAACTGGTTTTCCAAGCTACGCACATCCCTGCTCACATACGGCTTTGTTCAATCTAAGGCTGACTACACACTGTTTACACTACAGAAAGGGGAAGTTTTCTTGGCTCTTTTAGTGTATGTGGATGATATCATCCTCGCCGGCAATAATTCGCAAGGTTGTCGTGCCGTCAAAGCCTACCTTAATCGGTGTTTTAAAATCAAGGATCTAGGTTCCTTGAAATATTTTTTGGGAATCGAAATTGCTCGAAGCAAAAAAGGTTTATTTTTGTGTCAGCGCAAGTATGCTATGGATATTCTTTCGGAGGCAGGTCTTAGTGGTTGCAAACCATCTTACTCTCCTATTGAACAGAATCATCGTCTTGCTTTAGATGACGGACCAGAGTGTGCGACTCCTGAACGGTATAGACGACTGATTGGTAAATTAATTTATCTTACCATCACCAGGCCTGACTTAAGCTACGCTGTTCACATCCTATCCCAGTTTATGCAGCACCCCAAGCAGTCACATTTTGAAGCAGTAATGCGTGTCCTTCGATATGTTAAGTTAAATCCAGGACAGGGCCTCCTCTTGAAGTCAGATTGTGACCTTCAAATCCATGCATTTTGTGACTCAGATTGGGCTTCATGCCCCCTCACTCGGCGGTCTCTTACTGGTTATTTTGTTATGCTAGGAAATTCACCCATCTCTTGGAAAACAAAGAAACAGGTTACTGTCTCTCGTTCCTCTGCAGAAGCCGAGTACAGGTCCATGGCAGCAGCAACCGCCGAGTTAGTTTGGCTCAAAGGCTTTCTTGCTTCCCTTGGAGTATCTCATTCGAGTCCCATGGAACTGTTTTGTGATAATACAGCAGCCTTACACATAGCTGCGAATCCGGTATTCCACGAACGAACAAAGCATATTGAACTCGATTGTCACTTTGTACGTGATCATCTTCTAGCCAATACTATAGTCACTGCTCATGTCCGTTCTTCTTGTCAACTTGCAGATTTGTTTACTAAAGCTCTAGGACAACGTGTGTTTCTCGACTTTCTTCCCAAGTTGGGCATTTCATCCTTACATGCTCCAACTTGAGGGGGAGTGTTGGAGATTTGTTAGGATTGTATTTTGTATTTATTTGTTAGGATTAATTTGTTTAGAAAAAGATCTCATCCTATCCGATTCTGTATGTATCAGCACTTTTGCTGTATTTTCTATTTGCTGTATTTTCTATTTGTATCGGTTTGTTATATCCGATAGGTTAGGAGTTTGTTTAGGTTGTTACCGTTTCTTTAGTTGTGTACATGCTTTGTATCAGTAGCCTATTTAACGGCTGAATGGAATATATGATAACTAAGAAAGTGGTTTACCAAGTTTATCTGAGGTGCACATGCTCATGCTTGACATAGAGAGTGTTTTCCATTTCTCAATCTAGCTCTGGAAAATGAGATGGCATCCATATTAGTTGTTGCTACTTGCTACCAACATACATAGGCATCACAACTATTCGAGGCACAACCTTATACTCCCATGGCTTCCACGTGGGATTCCCATTGATTTGTTTGATCGCCTACTCATCATCTCTACACAACCTTATAATCATTAATCAACACAATTGCATTTTGTTTCGTAGAGTGAAAATAATATATATTTTTTATTTAGAGATACTTTTATATTTTATATAATAAAAATACTTTAATATTTCAAAAATTAAATGAATAAGCATAGTCCATAACAATGTTGTCAAACTCGAGTTTCTACGTAGAAACGGAAAGGGGTGGTAGAAATGTAAAATGTAGAAACGACACGAAACGTAAAGTTTCTACTTTCTACTACTTAAGGTCAAGATACAAAATTATATATAAATATATATATGTAAAAAAATCACATAATGAACATGTGTGTTGAGCCATTTATCTATCTAAAAAGGAAAATTATTGTTGATAACCAAGTATCAAAATTATAAACAGTGATAACTAACAAGTAATGGATAACTAATCTGCTCTAACTGCTTCATATACTCTGCAGATTTTGGATCATCGCTCATCAGGATATAATTTCACTTCTTTCAATGCACACAATGATCCAGAAACACAAAACAATTCTCATATCATAACTTAGAATTGCATCTTTATAAATTATAATTATAAAAGACATATATTCAAACAAAAAAATATCAAAATACGGTGCATATGATTTGGGTAAAACGAAAATTGGGTTTTTTTTAATTTCTTTTTTTGTAAATCTTTTTTTTAAAAAAAAAAATTGTTTTAAGTAAAAACGGTCAAAGCATAAGTTTTTATCGTTTTTACGCAACGTTTTTATCAGTTTTTACCAAGGATCATTTTTACTTGCGGTTTAACATGCACCACTCTAGTAAAAACATTATGTTTTTACCCTAATTTTTTACAACAATGGTCCACAAGGTTTAAAATGAAGTTAAAAAAAAAAAAATTCCCTTGTGTTCGCGGGCTAGCAATCCTAATACGAGGAAAAGAAGATTCGAATTCTTAAGGAACAGGTTAGTAATGGTTTTTTTTTTTTTTTTTTTTTTTTTTTTTCCCTTATAGATAATGGAAATAAAATGTTTAGCAATGAAAGTATGAAACAACAATTTGGTTGACCGGAATCTTTTTTTAATGGGCCACTTTATCTACGGGCCAGCCCACCAATATGTTAACAAGATAATCCACACTAATATAAAACTTCAAAGCCCACTAACTCAACAAAACAAAGAAATATTAAACCATCTAAAAAAAATAAATCAAAATAAAATAAAATTCTAGGGCTTATTGTTTGAGCTTCAATCGAACTTCCATGGACGACATGGCTGCCTACTACTCACAGCCCCCACCGTCGGGCCTTCTTACTTATCAGTATTATCAACACCCTCCTCCGCCGCCGCAGGCTCAGCCGCCTCTCATGGCAGTGGTGCCACCGCCTCCTGGCGCGGTTCTCCCGCCGGCGCACCACCTGCATCCGCAGTATATCCATCACCATCAGCAACAACCCGTGTTTGGTTCTTACGGTCCTCCTCATTCCTCTGGCAACGAGGTTCGCACCCTCTTCGTCGCTGGGCTTCCCGAAGATGTAAAGCCCCGCGAAATCTACAATCTCTTCCGAGAGTTTCCCGGTTACGAGTCATCGCATCTTCGTAGCCAAACCAATTCGTCGCAGGTACAATGACGATCGTCTAAAACGGTTTTTTTATATTTTGTTTTCTTGGTGCAAAACATGTTGTGTTATTGTGGATTTACTTCTCTGACATGTTTTTGTGTTCTGACAGCCGTTTGCTTTTGCTGTGTTCGTGAGTCAGCAATCCGCAATAATTGCAATGCATGCTCTGAATGTAAGGATCTTTAACGTAACATACCTGTTTAAGTGTTGTATGTTATGATCAGTGGTATCAAATACATTGGTTATTCAGTTTTCTATGTCGGAATTGAAGATTTTGATTGCTATCGTTGCTAACAGTACTTGACATCAATCGGTTTGCAGGGGATGGTCTTTGATCTTGAAAAGGGGTCAACACTTTATATTGATCTGGCAAAATCCAACTCTAGAGCTAAGCGCACAAGGATAGGTGTGTGGTTTGATTAGCTTATTTTGCTATTAAAGAAAGTTCAAAATCAAAATGTTCGAGAGATTTTGAACTGATGGTTTTTTTTTTTTTTTTTGGATGTAAAATAAGCAAAAACCGAACATGCTGTAGGTCTCTTTTGTAATATATTTTTTCCGTAATCTTCAAACAAATTCTTTTATCTCATTGTATTTCAAGAGCTTCCAATTAAATATTGTCCATTATTGACCTTGACAAGCAGATGATGAGAGAGCTGGCTCAGATAAAAAAGCAAGAGGCTCTGCACCTTCATGGGCCTCTCCTGATTCTGGTAAGATGATATTGCTAGAGTTTTTTAGTGCATAGGATGTTCTCTATATATGCTGCTTCTGTGAACTTTTTTTTTTTTTTCCAGTTTACATTGTTGCATTTTTATGTTCAATTCAATGTCTGATCTCTTGCTTGGAGACCAGTTAACTATTGATCACACAAAGGACACTTTTGTCTATGAGCTCACATTGCACATGTTTTGCACTCTTCGGCACTAGCAGGTGTTAGCAGCATTCACATGCCTGGAATGGGTAATCCTGCTTTCAACACGAACACGATTGGTTATTCATCTGCACAAAGGTCATCTGCACTACTTAATCACAGCTTTATTATGTGGAAGTGATTGCTTCTAACTCAGATAAAGCACATTTTTCAATTTGAGAAGTAATTTTGTGCTTCAGTTGGGCAACTCTATGTCTATTAGAAGAAAATAACTAACATGTTTGAAGTATGAGTTTTTTTTGGGAGCTGTTGCCTTTGTATTTCTTTCTATCTCGTCTGATTATTTGTTTGCTTGTTTCCTGTAATAGTCGTGGGAATGCTGATGGGAACGCTGTGAATGACAGTCTATTTGCAAATCTGGTTAGTGTGATAAAGTACTGAATATATCTGTTTGCTGCATAACCTTAAAAAAAATTCTACTATTATGTGCTTCAAATGGTTATCTTTCAGTGTTAAAAACAAAGTGCTTTTGATTTAAATAAGTCTCAACTATTTGTTGGGCCTTTAATTGAATTCTAAAGCATTACTTGCCTATCTCTCCCTCTTTTTAGTTAGTTCGGAGAAAGCTTCTTCAAAGTGAGATTGCATTTCTCTTTTTGTTTTAATAAATATATGACACATGCGAACTCTGCCTCACTCTTTTTGTATTTATATTGATCTGAGGTAATAATGTAGAGAATATAATGATTTCCCTCGTACAACTATTAATTGAGTCATATTCCATTATGCTTCCTTTTTCCACTATTAGACATGTTTTTGTTACTATATTCACATAATCTCACCTGGGTTGTTTGCACTAATCTTATCCTCTTCTTGACTACTAAGTGTTGTCTTGGGGTGGGATGGATCAGAATAGGACTATGATCTGGTGTGAGAAGGAAGATGGTAAGCTAAAGTGTAGGCAAAGTTTCTATTTCCAGGATTCAACAGTCCCCAAAGGGACTTGGTGCCGCTTGAGCTAAGCTCTTGGGTGGAAACTACTTCTCTTTTTTTTTTTTTTTTTTTGGTAACAAAACTACTTCTCTTTTATTTCAAATTTTCTTAACCTTCTTTTTTCATACTGTATTCAAACTTGTGTGGTTAAACTGTAATGTTTTTATACTTCAGATCGTTTACTTAATTGATTAGGCTCTTAAAACATTATTATGCCTTACCTGATACCATGTTACTTTTCTGAAGGATACCTGATAGTTATCTTTTCTTCAAGCTATACCTTATTCCTCAACACACATCTATTGATTTGTTTGGCATTAATAAAATGTGGGGTTGGATCATTTTTATGCGGTGCTTATGTCAGTATGTTTCTCATGTTTGAAACGTTGCGTCTAATCATGTCTTTTTTTCTCAAATCCTATGCATTTGGGACTATATTCAATTTTAAAACTCTTGTATTTTTCACTTCAGTAACTGTTTGGTTTCTTATCTTATGTTGACAGCCAAAGTGTTCAACTCCTTACATTCCACAAAATCCGATTCCGTGTGCAACTTTATTTGTAGCTAATCTGGGGCCATCTTGTAATGAACAAGAGCTAGTGCATGTTTTTTCTAGGTCAGTCTACATGTATTTTTGAATTATTTTTGTATTTGTAATGTCTATAGAAGTTTAATTTAATTTTGCTTTTACATTTATCTTGTATCAGATACCCTGGATTTTTAAAACTGAAGGTGCAGAGCACATATGGGGCTCCAGTTGCATTTGTTGATTTCCAGGTTTCTTTTTTTGTTTGCGCTACATATTCAACAATTAAATAAATGGGAGTATTTTATCACTCAGCATGTTCCTTCCTGTTTCAACTTTCTATTATGAATGGATTCTGATAAGAACCAAGCCAATAACAACAGAAAACAGAACTCAAAATTGATACTTAAACGAAAACAGTGGCTTGTATTATTGGTATTAATCTTAGAAGTACAAGCAAATCAACAGGACAAGGGTAATAGTAATGGCAAGAAATTACAAGTGAAACAGGAAAAGAAAATGATAGTGTAGAGCAATTAGAGAGGCTCTACTCTCTCCCAAATCCCATGACCCAATTCCCTCTCACTTCACATTCTCATCTTATATTCAGCCTAACCTCCAAGAATATTGTATTCTCCATCCAAATGTTAGTTATGTCACCTCATTGGTAGAACATAATCCCCTACTACCCACCTTACATACATCTCCATGAGTATATTCTTATCAGGTTCCGAGTCTTCTCTCTCTGTGTTCCTTTATGAAAATAAACAAAATGCATGCAATAATGGTAACATCTAACATGAGAACTGTTGCCAAAGTCATGTTTAAAAATGCCTAAAACTAGCTTATGGCCTGTTGCCAAGATTTACATGATTTTATTTGGGGACTTATTCTGACCAGTCACAAAATATATATATCTTGTAAAGTTCCCAGTTTGATTGCCTACTGTATGTGCAGGATGTTGCTAGCTCAACTGACGCTCTGAACAGTCTGCAAGGCACCATTCTCCACTCCTCATCAGCTGGTGAGGGAATCCGTTTAGAGTATCCTTTGGTCAACTGCGTTATATTTCTCATTGAAGTATTTTTTATTTTTTTTATTTTTTTTTGTGGCGGGGTGGGGGGTGTTGGGTGGAGGGGGTTGGAGTTGTGGAATCTCATTACTCATCAATGTTTGATATTGCTTAACAAGAGCTTTAGATATGCTAAATCGCGGATGGGTATGCGGAAGAAGCCGAAGTAACTTGCATGGTGGAAAATATATAATAATAAAGAGAAAAAACAATGGGAAAATCATTCCTGACTCTTGAGATTCACTTGCCTTTGGCTGTGCTATGAACTGTTGTTTGCGGATACAACAGAATGGAAGCTGGGTTGAATACTATTACTGTCGCAAAATCTAGAAAAATTAATTTTCAGTATTTAAGAATACATAATAGGACTGGAGTTTAATGCTTTTGTATTTCTCCAAGTATATAACAGTTGCACATTGGTATAGTTCTCCTGTATTTCGACTAAAATTTTTGTATGAAAGTTACCTTTTCAATTTTGGTAGATTTATGAAAAATTGTTATAAAACTAAGAAAAATAAAGAAAGTATGAAATAAGGGCAAAGATATATTTATAACTAAAAAAGTTTACTATCTTTACAATCAACTTAATCACCGTTGATTTTCGTCAATGAATAGGAAGACTAATTACACATCAATGCAATATTATGCATGATGGTTACAATTTATACAAAAAGTCATAAGTAAACAAAAGGTTTTGACATAAATCTCCTGAAATTTCAATAGTCTAGCCTAGCCTAATATAGGGAGACTAATAAGAGGCTAAGTCTAGCCTAATATAGGTTAGGCTGTAGGTCGATCTAGCCTATTTATATCCCTATATCCACATATAAAATTCATATTTTATAACACTATTTCTCATTAAAACTTCGCTAAAAAAATCTGTTGGGATAAAAATCTAGCGGAGGAAAAAGAATAAAATATCCGTAGTTAATTTACTTCACATGATATTAACAATATTATTTTCAAATGACATAAACTAATATTCTATACAAAGCTGCTGAAGTTTTAGTAGGCAAACACAACGATTTTGACAATGACTTTGTCAACAAATTTGAGGATATTTATTTTAGCAAAGCTGATGGTCATATGTCTCACAATTCCTTTGAAGATTATGTGAAATGAATTTTGGTGAAATGTGCTTAGTCGTATCTCCCTTGATGTGTCCTTCCCTTATTTGAGCAATACATATAGTATTATCTTCATATGTTGATATTGGTTTTACCTTGATTATTTAAAGTCCACATGCTTCTTTTGTATCTTGAACCATTAATCCTAACCATACAGAGTCTCTTTCGGCTTCATATAATGCAATCAATTCTGCATGGTTTGAAGATGTTGCCATGCTTTTGTTGATCACCATGAAATTGTGGTATCAGCATTTGTAAATACATATTCTTTTTGTGGTCGCGCCTTTTGTGGATTTGATAAATATTCAACATTTGCTCACTCAATTAAATCAGATTTTGAATCCATTTAATAAAATAATCTCATATCATGTGTCCCGCGAAGATAATGAAATGCATGTTTTTATTCCATTCCAATGTTTTCACATTGAAGTAGGGTCATATACTACTAACACAATTGTAGAAAATGTTATATCAAGTCATGTATTATTAGCGAGACACGTTCAAACCCCCGTTGTATTTAGACATGGTACTTTGGAACCAATGACTTATTCATAATTTTCTTGAGAACATAGATGATCTTTTTCAATGCTAAGATATCAAATGACCATTTGTGAAGTCAATGGATTACGAGATTGGTCAATGTTAAAATGTTTTAACATACTCTCTATATAAATTCATTGATGAACAAAAATGTCATAAATTCTCTATCTATATGCCAAGATAAAGTTTAATTATTCGAAAATCTTTCTTTACAGTTTCTCTCGTGCTCTTCAGGAGTCTCAAAATGATATTTAAATTGTAAATACTAATATAAATCTTTTAGTAAAAACATATGGATGTATAGAGCAATTGGTAAATCCTTTTTTATTAAGATATTCACTATGATAATTATACCATATTTTTTCATATTATTTTAGTCCATACTGAGACCTTTTTAATTTTATGGAATATAACTCCCAAGGTTTTCATTTATATGCTTCAAGCATTTTTAGTCCTTCTAGGACTTTCATTTATATATATCGCTATCAAATGATTCATATAATTAAGCAATTACTATACCCATATGTTGCCTTTGGAGTCTTTCAAGGATTTTCATATCTACATCATTATCGTATGATCTATTAAATATTTTATCACTACATCCATTAGATGTATAACAAGTCCTTCAGAGACTACCAAACTAATAAAAAATATAAAATGTATTGCATCCATTATAGGGAAATATATAGTTGGCCTTTGTGAGACATTATATTTCACGATTTTCATTTAACATATTCTCCCTTTTTTTTGGGTGAGCTATTCTCCTTTTTTTTGTTTGACATCTTCAGGTGCCTGAACTACTAGTTTGAATATACTTTATGCTTGTATAATGAATCCAACATAACTTGTATTGCTTCATTCTGTTTTAATCAATCAGCTTGATGTTGACATTTTTCTATAGTTTGAGGTTAATGATTATTATCATTGATATTCTTAAAAGCAATTACATATGCAAAAACATTATCAATAATGATTTTATATCTTCATATTTCCACTGTTTAGTGAGATCTCATAACTTTCTAGTACATGCCACTTTTGGGGTTGTTTAGTTAATCTATATTATCGTTGACCTCTTTTGGAGTGTCACTTTGAAATTTCTCTTTTTGTTAAAGAGTAATATGATTTCCACTAATATACCACACTTCTAGTATACTTTAAATTCAATATTTGTCATAATTATAGGACATCCTTTAGGGACAATTAATCACACAATAATATTTGTAATTGGTACATATGATTTAGTGTTTTTGGGTATTTGTAAAAAAAATTATATAACAATTGACATTCAACAAACTTATTTTCTTTAAACTTTAAGTTCACATTGATTTGTATCTATATCTAGAGTTGCCAATTTTGGTATTTTCGAACAAATTTTTGTGCTTTTTTCTTACCATAATAACAAGAAACTAATAATAAACAGAGAGTCAAATCCAACACATATTCTAAGAAGACTTTGTAGAAGCATCTTAGTTCCTAGAGATGGTGTAGTATGACACAACATAACCAAAAGGTGAAAACTTGTGATACACAAATTGTGATATACAAACTAAAGATGCAACATGTACCATATCATATTCCGAAGTAGATGTAAATTTCCATCTTATAAGCATAGTCTACAAATAAATTTTAAATAATTAATGAAAAATTCAATGTAACTGTTTTGAGAATAGACACATACATTAAAAAAATTTATATTAATTTATGTTGATATTCAATAATCATAAAATGCTTTGGAAGTAAATTGATATATTTTATTTATCTAGATAAGCTATCTTAATAGGATGATAATTGAAACATGATATTAACTTTATTATTTGAGCAATACTTATTTTAGCAATACTTTGAGTTGAAAGTAAATAAATATGCGACTATCAAGTAAAAGTATTAATTAAAAATATAAAATATTAGGGAAAAATTCACCAATGCTCCTGTGATTTACTCTAGAATCACTTTTGTCTCTGTGATTTTTTTTATCACATATGCCCCTGTAGTTTGCAAAAAGTATATTTTTTATCACATATACCCCTGTGGTTTTTTATGTTTTACAAAGTACAGGGGCATATGTGATAAAAAAACCACAAGGGCATAAATGATTTTAAAGTAAACCACACGGGCATTGGTGAACTTTTCCCAAAATATTATTATGGTCTACAAGATAAATGATATTTTGCGTAAATATCATATTTTAATATATTTTAAATATTCTGAAAATTCAATTATATTTATAGTTGGTGATGTGATACCTTATAATCAATTTGCATTGAAAATATTTAACACTTAACAAATTCCTTATAATAAAGAATCTCCTAGTTCTTTAACATATATCCATATGAACTATCATCATTGGCCTAAGATAACCTACCCAATTACATGTCGAATAATATAATTGTTTTGACTTGTAAACTACTAGTTTCCAACAACATAACAAACTTTTGATTAATAATGTCTCTAACTTAAGTAAACAAGGTATTAACATTCTACAAGGTATCTATATAAATAGTTAATTATCTCTTAAAATAAATTTGTACTATCATATATATCCTAATTTATCTTTAATCTCTATATATGAAAAATAGACATATTGTCTTAAATTAATAAACAAAAATATCTTAAAAATCATATCACATATATAATATCACAAACTAAAATAGAAAGATGAAATGCACATAAATCAAATACATATAAAATGTAAATTTAATTTATTAATCTTTTTTCATTCACCAATCAAATATTCTATCAATCAAGATGTTCAAAGAAATCATATATTCAAAAAAAAAGAAAAAAAGAAATCAAATATATACAAGTGCATCATATTAATAAGCCAAGGTTAAATGAATAATTTTCGTTAGCGATACTTCAACATATAATATATACATGTACAATGTTATTTTCTTTGTACTATAATATTAGTATGTATCTAAATTGTTTACCAAAAAAAATGTATGTATCTAAATTCTTATTTTACCATATATATATATATATAGGGGCAAGATATTCTTACACTAGTGTAAGAGTTAGAAGTCTTACACTCAATCTTGACCATTGATCCACTTGTATCCAATGACTCACATTACTAAAAAATTTGAGCCCTTAGATATAAATGGGATCAGTGGACAAGATTAAGAGTGTAACTTACACTGGTATAAAATGATCCTAACTCATATATATATATATATATATATATATAGATATATATATATATATATCATTGGATGGCCTAATCTCGTACTAATGGGTAAAGATTTTTGGATCAACTAACTTTTGCTTAGTAAATTATTAATTTCTATCAAATTTTTATTATGTAAAATATAATTCAGAAGAAAAGACTTGCACTTTTCAATATAATTTTATGTCAAGGTCCAAAAGATGTAATATGAGATATTCAATATTACTCTAATTCATGATTTCAATGAGATAATCATTGCGCCAAAATCTTTAAAGCTTAGTAGATTTCTCCTAAATCTACTATAGTATAGAACATCACTTATTAGTAATTTTGTACTTCCATGTAACATAGAACAAGCTCTTCTAGAGCATTGAATCAAGATTGCACCGCTAGAAATCATGATGATGCTTGTAAAAAATAACTAGCTCTTATAGAGCTTTCAAATGAATTTATATTTTCATATATATTAAGTAAAAATTATTAATTATTTTTGCTGACCAATCAAATAATATTCCATCCAGATAAAGAAAACTAATATATACAATTGCACCATATTAATAGGAACAATGTCACATGACATGCCTAAAATTATAATTTAAAATATTCGCTTCAGGGAATATAGTTAAACCAATCGATTCAG